CGGGGCATATAATTCCTTCCCTGCTGCTGCAATTTATGAAAAAAATAATTTTCCCTCTCTTGCCATCTGCTTCCCTCAATGCCTCTGAGAGAAAAGATGGTTACATGACTAAAACAAATAGCAGGCCAAGAAACTTCTCAGCATAGCACTTACCTGTATCTGGCTTTCTTCCCAGCAGTTCTTCTTTATTGATTTAACTTCACTTATGTTAGGGATTTGGTAGTGTATTTTTGAGCACTCACAGCAGATGAAAATACCCAAAGTACAGGAGACCCAGCAAGGATCTGAACAGAATCAAACAACATCAGTGATTATGGACTGACTGTTGTGAAATTCAGCACAATAAATTGTAAGGAGCTAAAGTTCCTTAAGGTCCAAGTAGCTATCAGTTAATTATCACGGCTACTTATTATTCCTACGTCATTGTGAGTTGCAACACCGTTCCTCAACCTAATGTCTCAAGACTATTTATCAGTCAAGAACTGACATGGACCCAGGGGTGGGATTCAATTTTTTTAACAACCTGTTCTGTGGGCGTGGCTTAGTTGGTGGGCGTGGCTTGGTGGTAATGTTATTGGCTGGGCGTGGCCAACTCAACATCAGTCACATCAAGGCACACATCTCCTCGTCTGGCCTCTCGTGACTGTGGGGATGCTGCAATAGTCATACGTGTGAAAAATGGTCATAGGTCACTTTTTTCAGTGCCATTGTAACTTTGAACTCCACACAAGCAAAGTACCAGCAAAGGAGGAAAAAAAAAAAAACTCCAGAGATATTCCTGAGACAGGAAGTCTAGTCCTGCCAAGAATGTAATAAGGGTTAACGGAGAGGCAGTTTCTGTAAGCAACACCAGAATGTTTCCTTCCTGCCTTCCTTACAGGATTAGGCCAGTAATTTCTTCTAACAACCGGTTCTTCCAACTGCTTAGAATGTTAACAACCGGTTCTAGCTAATAGGTGCAAACTGGTGGAATCCCACCCCTGCATGGACCCTCCTTGGGGCCTTTTTCGGAGTCCTACTTGGAGATGTATAGGCTGCACAGTACTGTGATGTCATGGAATGAGTACGGCAGAATTTTTTAAACTTCTTTTTTGTTCTATTTGGGAGTAGTTTTAAGGGTGAGATTTGTGCTATCCAAAATAAAAATATAAATCCCCTAAATGTTTTTTTTTAGGAGGCAAGTCTCTGCAAATACTTTAAAAATAGATCAAAATCCCAGATTAGTCTCCTGCACTTTGCGGGAACTCCCGTTAAGGGCCTGGCAAAAATATGGTGATATCAGAGAATTGGAAAAGGCTTTAACTCCACGTCCTAACAAAGGCATTTCTGTCCTTTCTGATCCAGATTACTGAAGCTATAAACAATGCAAATAGGATTAAAAAGCTGCATGCTGCTGTTTCTAATTATAATATCGAAGGTTAAAAAAAATACCTTCTACAAAAGATTTTATTAGATAATATCCCATTGTTTCATTATATATGGCTCTTCAGTGGCCTGCATCAGTTCCAAGTCCACCCAGCCCTGCAGCCCAAGTGGTTTGTTAAACCTCCAATGTACATGCCATCTCCAGGATGCACACACACACCCCCCCCAAATACTTAAGGTTTTCTTAATTACATCCATTTCCTGTATTTGGGGAAAAAATCCCCCCAGTATACCAATCTTTTTCTCCAATACCTCAAAAAACTGGATACCTTCAAATATTTGTCTCTACCTGGATGGTAATTCTTCACTTAACTAAATCCAGTGAGTTCATGCTTCCACAATCTCCATACAGTAGTATTACCATTCTTCATTTCTATCTTACAAGGAATTCACTCTTATTCTTTGGTGGTAGAAGCAATCTTTCTTCCTACTTACTCCCAGATGCTGAACTTGAAATCCCACCACCCATCGGAAGCATGGCCAATCATGATGGCCGTTTGGAATTGTAGTTCAGCAACGTCTAGATTGCCATAGATTCTCATCCCTGAATGGAAAGTCACAGAGACAACAGCAAGCACATTCCAGTTTAGATGGCTACTATTGTCTGCAGAGTTACAGAATTCTTAATCTTTAGTAGAACAAAATATTTAACGTATAATATATAGCATACACAGCATTCCATGACATATTTAAGAAATCATACAATATTAACCATCTCTTCCTTGTCCTAAATGCCAGGCATAATTCCTCCATCTGAATTTCTTCCAAGTTACTGCAATTGCTTTTTTCAAGAGCTATTTTTGTTAGCTATTCATTTCTGCTACCGCCACCATTTTCCCCTTTCCTTACCAGGCTGCCCGCAATCTGCACACATGGCATTTTCTTTTCTCTTCCGAACTTCCTGGAGGAGGCTTGTATTCTTCCCATCTTCTGCAGCCATTTTTCTCAGTTGCTTTTTAATCCTCCAGTGCCTTTTTCTCTCTCTCCTCCGCATGCATAGGAGATCAGACTTATGTAGAGAAGTAGGTTTTCCTTTCTTTTCTCTTTTGCATGGGAAGAGTGACAGGAAAACAACAGTCAGTGTCCCTGCATGGCAACTTGAATGACAGGCTGCTTTTATAATCCAAAGCAAGTTCAGGCTGAAGGGTACTAAGTAGGCTCAAGTGACAGGAGAGTGCTATAGTTCAGGAGACCAACCCTGTGGGTGTAAACTTAAAGGGAAATACAGCTATTAACCACAAAACCGGATTTTCCATCTCAGAAGGGGCTGAAGGACAAGCTCATAAGTTTAAGCACTTTGCAGACTGCTCTGTGATTAACAATACTGTGTGTAACTTCTCCACCCCTTTGATAAGGTCAGAGTACTTGTAATCAGTCACCTATTGGCATGAATCCTATTTGGAGATTATTATTTTTTTAAAAGGGGGGGCGTGAACATCAAGATGAATCAAACACATTCAAGTTGTCCTGAATTTTTTTACACATGACAAACAGCTCCCTTAAAAGAGCCTCCAATCCCACTTTGCCTGCTGCTTCCATGAAATAAGGTCTCCATAAAACTGCTCAATCCTGATGAGCAGTAAAAGTGGCAGCAATCAAATACACACAATTCTAATTATGCTGTTATCTAAAGACAGTCTGGATTTTTGTAGTCCAGACTGTCTTAGTAGCCTTATTACAGACTTGAAAGAAAAGGCAAAATGACCAATTCAGTGACTTGAGTCACTGACCAATCCAGTGATGGCTATCAGAACGAGGCTGTAATTCCAGGGTATTCAGTATGAAGATAAATTTACATTTTCAAGCAATGCCCATCTATTTGTGATCATTTAAGTAAGAGACTGAGGCACTGAATCTGTAATTTCCCACCACAGTTGGGCAAGTAACAAGGATTAGGGTTTTCCTTTTTTTCCCAAAAGCCCAAACAACCACAGTTAATTTGCTTTATATGCAAATTAGAGATTGGATTTAGCTGGAAACAAATTGTGGTTCAGAGGGTAAATCTGACTTTCCATTACATCCCAAGGTTGTACAATACAACGATGAATAGTGTCTGACAGCTTCATTTAGAAAAGGATCCTTTTTATAGCTTTATCTATTCATTTAAATGTATTATAGTTCTGATGGACTAGGCAATATACAAACCAAGAACAAATTCTATGAAGAGATACACAAAACCATACATTTTGAACTAAAATGATTTAAAAGTGACACAAGAAACAGGTTTTCAAGGCTTTCTTAAATTCTACAAAGAGGGCTCCATCTTTACCTTTGTGGGGAAGCTGTTCCAGAGTGAATGGGTTGTGACAGAGGAGGTATGCTTTCTCAATCCTGAAGGATGACAATCTTTAACAAAGGAAACCTGGAGCACACCCGGTCTGCCAGAAGAAACTAGATTGGCAGAAACAATTGGGGATAAGTGGTTTCCTCAGATCTCCAGGCCTCTATACCATACAGGGCTTTATAAGTAATAACCAGAACACTGAATTGTATTTGAAACCCAATGGCAGCCAAAGCAGCTTGCAAAGCAGAGGTGATACATAGGAATGCCAACAGGTACCATTGCTGCTGCATTTTGATCTGGCTGTACCTTCCAGGTGGTATTCAGAGGCAGTTCAACAATGGTCAGTTGGAAGCTCTTGCAGGTAAACTGTGTAACATGCAGTGAAATGCTAACCAATGATCTGTGGTGGTGCAGTGATTAGAATGCAGTATTGCAGTTTGATTCCTTCGATCTCAACCGGTTCAAGGTTGACTCAACCTTTCATCCTTCTAGGTCAGTGAAATGAGGACCCAGATTATTGGGGCCATATGCTGACTCTGTAAACTGCTTAGAGTGCCACAAAATCTAAGTACTATTGCTAGATTCTCAAAACTACCTACAGCCTTCCCCCAGGGAGCCTACTTAGTGCTTATTTATGCAGTCACTGTGTTATTCTCTTTTTGTAACAAAAGTACAAGGTCCGTATTGCTGCTTGTACCCGTGAGTGAACTTCAGAGAGCAGTTTCACATGCATATACTGGAGTAGGTATAGAAAGATCCAGGAAACCATTTAAAAGTGCAAGCTAGCCATATGTTCCACAGAAACTTACTTCAGATGACAGAGACTGAGATATAGGTACAGGGTTTTTTTCACACATCATCCTAACCCAATTTACTTCATCATGGTTTACTAAAAGAAATGGAAGCACACGCTTAAATCATAGACTGCAAACCACACTGGGCTCATACAAAACTAAACCACATTCACAGTATGATTTAGCGCATATTTGAAGCTTCCCATGTCAACACAGCCTTTGCTTATCCATACGACCAGATCTCTCGTTTTGGGCTAACCAGAAGCGTGCAGAAGAATTGGGGAAAGAGCTGCATTTAGGTTCCTGGCCCCCCAAAATATTTCGACTATGGATACTGCAGGTCAATCTCAAAAGTTGCGTAGCGATTGCATGACTAAAAAAAAAAAAAGCTTGGTAATATATAACTAGCCTAACAATGATCGATGAAAGGCGAGAGCAGAGGCGGAGCTTCCCGCAAAGACTCATCGAGGAGGCGACTGCGGGGCGGAAGAGGCGGTGCACTGGTGTGCGCTTCTGCCGGCGGAATAGGAAGAAGTCATCGCCGGCATGGGCCGCAAGAAGAAGCGGCGAGATGGGACTGCGGTGCTCCGGAGAGTTGTGTCTTTCGATGAGAAGAGTCGGCGGTGAGTGCGGGAGAGGAGGAAGACGCTTGCCCGACTAGATCTACCGCTGGCCCCTCGCTGGGCGTATGCCTCGGTGTGCAGATCCCTCCCGTGGGAGGGAGCCCACAGCGTGGAGATTTACCGGGAGGCTCTTTGCATGGCGAGAGAAGAGTTAAAGCTGAACAGGGATGCTTGCTGCAAGGTTCAGACACATGTTGCTTTACCTCAGAGGTTTCCAAACTTGGCAACTTTAAGACTTGTGGACTTCAACTCCTAGATTCTGGAAGTTGAAATCCACAAGTCTTAAAAGTTGCCAAGTTTGGGGATGCCTGCTTTACATAGAATGGGAATGGGAAGGGAAGGGAATTCTGTATTGGCCAACTGTGTTTAGACACACAAGGAATTTGTCTTGGTGCAAATGCTCTCAGTATACATATAAAAGAAAAGATACATTCGTCAAGAATCATAAGGTACAAACAACACTTAATAATAGTCATAGGGTACAATAAGCAATCAAATATTAGGAAACAGTCAATATAGATAGTATGGATATAAGCGACAAAGTTACAGTCATACAGTCACAAGTGGGAGGGGATGGGTGATAAGGAGTGATGAGAAGATTGGTCGTAATAGTAGTGCAGACTTTGTAAATAGTTGGACAGTGTTGAGGGAATTATTTGTTTAGCAGAGTGATGGCATTTGGAAAAAAAACTGTTCTTGTGTCTAGTTGTTCTGGTGTGCAGTGCTCTAAAGCAGGGATCCCCAACCTTTTCGACGCCGCGGCCCGGTTCCGACATCAGCTGGGCGCCGCGGCCCGGTACCGGCGTCAACTGGGCGCCGCCATCTTTTTATGACGAAACAGCACTTCCGGTGAGCTTTCTACCCGGAAAAGCTCACCAGAAGCGCTTTTTTACCAAAAAAAAGATGGCGGCGCCCAGCAACCAGCGGCCCGGTAAGGGTTGTTCCGCGGCCCGGTACCGGTCCGCGGACCGGCGGTTGGGGACCCCTGCTCTAAAGCGTTGTTTTGAGGGTAGGAGTTGAAACAGTTTATGTCCGGGATGTGAGAGGGGTCTAAATATTTTCACAGCCCTCTTTTTGACTCATGCAGTATACAGGTCCTCCATTGAAGGCAGGTTGGTAGTAATTGTTTTTTCTGCAGTCCTAATTACTCTCTGAAGTCTGTGTCTTTCCTGTTGGATTGCAGAACCAAATCAGACAGTTATAAAGGGGCAGGTGGGCAGTTTGAGCTTTCTGATTTGGTGCAGAAAGAATATTCTTTGCTCTATAGTATAATGTTTTTCAAACTTGGTCACTTTAAGATGAGTGGACTTCAACTCCCAGAATTCCTAGCCAGTGGCCAAGTTTGGAAAACACTGCTTTACCTTACTAGAAGTCAGTTAGTATACACGTGCAACAGAATGTATGCATAATGAATTTATTTACAAAAGGGGCAACTTGCTAGAATTTCTGAATTCTCTTCAAAGTAGATTTTCCCTAATGTCATACCTTCCAGTTGGTTTGGATTCCAGAACCTATTCAACAGCTGGCTGAGAGTGATGGGAGTTGCCCTCCTCTTCATCTGGGCGACATCAAGAAAGTGAAGGAGTCATGGTTTCAAAACAATCCACAGAATAGTTAACCAGCTCTTCAAAGAGTAAAATCCAATTTTTGTTCTTGTGGTTGACATTCACAGTTACTTCTTTATTCCCTTGGCCATTGCCTCTTCATCCTTCTTGCTTAGGACTATATCTGAGCTACAGATATCCAGGCATGCTTCAGATAGTAGCTGGAACAGATATGGATTTTTTTCAGCTTAAGAGGGAAATAGAGACGTGAAATGTGTGGAGCAAGAAAGTCTGCTTATCATTCTGTCTCGATTGGGTAGACAAGCTAAGATAAAATGGCAAGTAATGGGCAACAGTTACATTGCCAAGAAAACTAGCCCACTTAGGGGAACAGAATCACACAAGGCTACCTGGATATTCAGAATTATAAATAGTTCTCGGTTAACAACTGCCCAATTTAATGATTGCTCGGTTATATAACTGCTGAAAAAAGTAGTTTTATGACTGGTCCTCACTCAATTGTTGCAGCATCCCATAGTCATGTGATCACCATTTGTGAGCTTCAATCAATCAAAATAGAGCTGGAAGGGACCTTCTTCTAGTTTAACCCTCTGCTTAAGCAGAAGACCCTATACCAGGGGTGACAAACTTGCATTGTCATGTCATCATGTGACGTATTGCAACTTTTTTCCCCTTTGCTAAAATGGGGGTGGGGGTGGCCAGTGTGTGATGCATCCAGCCTGCAGGCTGCAAGTTTGACACCCCTGCCCTATACCATTTCAGACAAGTGACTGCCCAGGCTCTTCTTAAAAACCAAACACTGGCGTCCAGCAAGCAGAATCAATGGAGAAGCCAGCAGGAAGCCAGTCATATGATGCCAGGCTTAACCTTGAATGATTCACTTTATGCATGGCAGTGAAAATGATGTAAGTTTGTGATGAAGGGTAGCCATATCCCCTAGCAAAGGAGTTGCTGGTCCCAATTGCAGTTGTTAAGGACTACCTTAGGCATAAAAAAAATCATAACTTTCATACTTTATGGTTATCCAATCTGTTCTGCAGGGTAATCTTAACTTATTGTTGCCTATTATACTGTGTTTATTCTTTCCAGGGAGTTCTTGACAGGGTTTCACAAACGTAAGGTTGAGAGGAGAAAAGCAGCTTTGGAGGAAATAAAGCGTAAACTGAAACAGGAAGAAAAGAAGATGAAAGAAGAGGTATGATTTCATCTGAGATCTGTTTGGGAAATGGAAGGCTATAACAGCTGCAAAAGTAAGGCAGAATTGTTTCCTTCCAAAAATGACTTTTTTCAAACATTTTGGATAGCTGCCTTCATTTTTGCCTTTTATTATTGATACTCCAAAAATGTATTTTAGCAAGCTTATCCTCGCCATTTTGACTCCACTCTAAATATGTTATACCAGTGTATTACCAAATTAAACTGACCTTACAAACAATAAAGACATAGGTGCTTGGAAATAAAATGGAGTACCTCCAAGTGTGACTCATATTTTTAGGCAAAGATTTTGTAGGGAAAAAGAGAGAGCTTTGCTTATGGCACCATGGTTTAAACTGGCTTGTTTTAAGGGAGATTCCAGATCTTGTAGGCTTTGATAGTGTAATATTATAGAGTAAATTGAGTTTGGTAAGTTAATATAGAAATACCACACAGTACCAAAATTCTACCAAATGCAGTACTATACTACCGTAGTAGGAAGAAATAGTGCATTACTTTTCATTGGCAGGATTTAACTAGCAACTTGAATGAGGCAATTTAGGAGATGATCTGAAAATTCTTGGAATATCTAGTTGTTTGCTTCTCTTGTAGAGACATAAAGAATACATGAAGATGCTGAAGGAGAGAGAAGAAGCCTTAGGTAAGTGTCCTATTTGAAGATGTAACCTAGCCTAGAATCTCAAAATGTATAAGATGACAACTTAGAGAACAGAAGGCTTATCAATACAATTTCTTTAAGGTTAAATGAATATGAATCATGATTCAAACTATATCTTCATTTAATCTCTGTTAATATATTAGTTTTTCTAATCTATAATCTTTAGCACACTTTTACTAGGTGTTGTTTTCTGTATTACTCAGTATGATTATGTTTAGGTCACTGTTGTTAATCACAGATAGTTGGAAGGAGACAGAGATTCAGTGCTGATTTTTTGCTGCACTGTGTAAGCTTTCGGTCTTTAGAAGAATGGTTACTATATGGACTTTCTGCTAATGCCAGGATTGAAAATATGATGTTTTATGGATTTATTTATAGATAAGCAATGGGATATGAGATGAAGAAATTTGTAAAGGGTGAAGAGTCGTTAAATTTGTTTACATTTGCAGTGATGAAGATTGGAAGGAATTTTTTTTATATTCCTACTCTTCTCTTTTTTCCTCTTTCCTTCTTTCATTTCCTTGAAGAAGCTTGCCCATCACTGGCAGAATTATGTAGTAAATAATGATGATTATGTGGCAAATACAGATAACAAAAGAACCTGCTTCATCTCTTAAAATATTCCAGTTTAAAGTTATGGAGGTAGAGGCATCAATTGTCATTAAACCACATACAGTATATAAAGGAATAATAGAATGTAATGGTAGCAGGACTAAACAGTCTAAGCTTAAAGAATTCCTCCCATAAAGTTTTCATTTAGAATATAGATGCCATTCTTCAACAGAGTGATTGAAGAAACTGCCTTTACACAAAAAATTATCACTGTACTTATGTCATCTTCTCAGAGGAAGCTGATGAGTTGGAACATCTAGTGACATCTCAAACAGAATCGGTGAGCTATGATCACCCAAACCATACGGTTACCGTTACTACCATCAGTGATCTGGATCTTTCTGGTGCTCGTGTGCTAGGGCTAACTGAGGTAATATATCTGTCTTTTATTCACTTGTTTGTTCACTTGTTAATTTAACAAAAAATATTTATATGTAATTTTTATATGGCTGCCTAACTCACAAATTCAACTCTAGTTGACTCTCCTAGGTGTAAAAGGCAGACTAGTGAACAACAATTGTAGGACCGTACCATGCAATATAAAGTGGCACAAAAACATAATATCTCAACATCCGAAACCTTTTGTTTCAAACGGGCTCATCCAACATCTTACTTTGTGTGTGTGTGTGTGTGTGTGTGTGTGTGTGTGTCAGGTTTTTAAAGTCGTACAGAAATTCAGGAGGGAGGGAGAGTGAACAAGCCCACAGCTACTCAGGTTTGTTTGGGTTAAGCCAAAGTTTTTACCTCCCCATCTAAATCCCCAAGGCTCCCTGACACAGAGAATCTGAAGGTATTGTTTGGTCAGCCCAGGATAAAGATGGAAACCCACATACCATTAGCATACTGACTAATGATACTTAATCCCATGCCAATGGATAACCTCCCCCAGAAGACGTGTTTGGGAAATAACTTGATTTTAAGTTTCTAGTCCAGATCGTCATTAGGAATCAATATTGACTGGGAAGCACAAAAATAAAATGTGCAAAAGGGGCTTGGAAGAAGAGCCCAGGACTGCTCAACATCCTACAGTGTGGAATATGGCTGAGTGGGTATTAATCTGTTAACTCCACAGCCATAGTTTGATACTTTAATCACTATGCACTATGCAATGGGTAGAATGCAGTTTTTCAGGCTAATTCTGCTAACTGCCAGCAATTCAGTTCCCACCTGTTCAAGGTTGACTCAACTTTCCATCCTTCTAAGGTCAGTAAAATGAGGACCCAGATTGTTGGCGCAGTATGCTGACTGTGTAAACCACTTAGGGCTATAAAGAACTGTGAAGTGGTATATAAGTCTATTGCTATACTACACATTTCTCACATACATATATTTGTGCATCCAAATATGCAAGATCCTAGTGTTATGTTTGAATATAATGTCTTTTGAGCTGTTATTCCCAAAGTTTATGGAAGGGAAAAGCTTGCCTGAATCCAGCTAGAAGCCAAATTCCGAACCATAATTTATGGATTACAGTTCACCACTGTGCTAAATGATTGATGCCAAGTTTTGGCTTTACATGTTTGTGTTGATTGCTATTATTCTTTAATCTAAAGTGTTAGCATTTAATCTTAATATTTTGCTTAGAAAATTAAATCATGTTTCTAGTTGCATGTCTAGATTTTATTGTGGTGTTCTTTATTAGCTCATGTGCCTTCTTTTTAGAACGAAAATACTGACCTGGAAGGAGAAGACGCCTTGAATACATGTACATTGCCTAAGAAAGCTAGAGATCCTCTTCTGTCTGAGAGGTATTGCAATTGTGTGACTTACTTTCAATTACCAAATCATTCAGAATGTCCCATCTGTTCTCTGAAGATTTGCTTAGAGATTATTCTAACACTGAGTGGAGAGTAAACTCTGTTGAATTTAAAGGGCTTTTGTTCTGAGTAGATACATATGGGATGCGCTGTCAAGTTATGTTAAATAGAAAAAGTAGAGGTAAGTATGATACGGTCAGGTGGAAGTAGGCATAGAGGATTATGTGAAAATATTATTTATATATAACACTTTATATAAAGATATTACTGTCTGAGAGAATAAACCGCGTAGGGACAAGAAAGGAGCTTCCCCCAATGGCTACCAGCATTCAGGCGTCCCGCGAGTAAAGATAACACTGCCTGAAAAAATTCCTTTCACAGAGGCAGCCAGCCACCTCAGTGATCCCTGGCTAACGTGCCATCCACTAAAAAAACAAAACTGTCTGAGTTAGGAAGAAATGTGACTGAAGAGTCTTCTCACTGCTGGTTCTTTCTTATGATAGACTTTCTTTAGAAAGTATACCAATATTCCTATACCTACCCCTTTGTCTATGTAAATATATTTCTCCCACCAGACAAATAAGTTAGTTTTTTAGTCCTTTTAAATATATTGGAAATTTTATTTTTGTTTTTACAGTTCCTGTTCTCCCTCTAGTTCTAAATTTATTGCTGCAGAGTTTATTTACTCAATATGGATTGATTTGTTATCTCTTAATAGTGCTGCAATTTGTATTGTTTTGTTTAATTTTTATAATCTGCCCAGAGAATTTCAGGTGTACAGTTTTTCTAACGCATGTAAAAATAAAATAAAGGAGATGAGGACTGACAATTCTGTAAATAACAGGAACATTCAAGTCAGAATTAGTCCAAGGAGACTATTTTTTTCTTATCTGTTTACTGTCTCTCTTTAGAGCTTAGAATTGTCTTTAGATATTCAAACATCCTAAAACTGGATGGACATACATAGCACTGAGCTGTGTTTATAATCATGATTTCTTAAATAAACCACTATAATACAGTTGAATAAACCAGTATAATACCTTTGACCAATGAAATTTTCATTTTATGTCTGTTCAAAGACATAATGGCTTCGGAAAAAGTTATAACCTATACTTGCGCATCTCTAGGGTTGCATAATCTCTAGGGTTGCATAATCACAATTCAGGAGCTTGGTAATTGCTTCATATTTATGACCAGTTGCATAATCCTGTGGCATATTAATCATGATTTGCAGCCTTTTTTGTCAATTTCCAGCCAAAAACGCCCATTGGGAAAGCTGGAATTGCTTAACTGTAATTATTTGTTTAACAACTACTTAAAAATTGTTGGAAAATCAGGTCCAATTTGACTTACAACCTCAACAATTTAACGACAAATATTCCAGTTCCAATTGTGGTTGTAAGTCAAGGACTACTGGTAATTTGAAAACCACAGCAGCCATGTTTACAAGGAACATAGGTGAGGGTGAATAAACCTGAGAATTAAAAGCTAGCTTTTATTTTTTTAAACTAAGAAACAATCATTATTTTCTTCTCTTATCCACAGAATTTCTTCCCTCACTGCTTCTCTGCATTCCCGTACTCAGAAAAAGAGGAAAAGAAAACAGATCAACCACAAACAAGGGATAAAGAATAGAGGCCAAAACACAAGAACAGGACGAACGAGCAAGTCTCAGCGCCGGAAAATGACAGGCAGGAAGAGACATGTCCAAGACTGAATAGCTGACACATGGACTATTAAACTCTACTAATTGGCTTGGAGGAAGATCAGTGTTATGTGAACACAGTCTTCTACTCAGGATCTCTCATTCAACTTCCCCTTATTTGGGTGGACAAAGGCCTTTTTTTCCAGAGAGAGATTGGATCCCTGATTAATATCATGTTTCCCAAGACTGAGGAAGGCCACATTTATAATTGCATTTTAATTTTTATCCCCATGCAGTATCATTTCATGTATTGGATTCAGATAAAGAAATAAGTATAAAAGAGTAGCCATGGACAACCAGGTGTTCTCCACTTGTTGGGACAAACACCCAAATATTGTGCAACACATCTGTCAAGTATGAAGTTGTCTAAGACTGGCACAGATAATAGCAATATTTTCTTCTTGCACATTGTTTTACTATTATTCATATTAATTTTCATCTCTTGAGGAAGAAACAGGTTTCTCATAAATCCTGGTGACACATGCCAACATTTACACCACTACTCATAAACAAGCATTGAGGATAAAAGTAGTTGTTAACTTTTTGAATTGTTTTTGCTCTCGCGGCAAAACAGAACCTGCCCCCATTCCCAGTAGGTCCAAGGAGTAACTTACCAACGCTAGCAAGAAATGAATCTATGGAAGCAGTGACAATGAATCCATATCTATGCTTAAAACCCCATACTTGATCTATTAGCTGTCAGGGACTTTTTTAAAACGACCAGGATCCAAATGTTTCTTTAGGTAGATCCATAACTGCATTTTTTTTTTCTGAAGAAGTCCTCTCTCAAAGTGTTGGCTCTGTGTCTGAGCATCATTTAATTACATTACATTTAAATGTCAGGCATCTGCCATTTTAAATTCCTGAATTAGATCTCCAGATCAAAAAGAATTATTGGATGTGCAGCAAAAAAACTAAGGAGCAGGAAGAGGATTTTCTGTATTATGTTCTAACAGCAGCCTGGAAAGCTGGGGAAACAGCCAATGCAGATGCTGTTGCTTGTGCCCTGGCAATAATCACACCAAGCCAGAATATTTCTGATCTATTTGTAATTGGTTACAGAGCTCAGAACAACAGCGAAAGAATGCATTATGATGGGGAAAACAAAGGAGGGGAAAGGGGGAGAGGTGAGACCTGGAGGTCAAGCTATATATGTCTCGTGACCTCAAGTCATGTGAAGACTTTGAAAGGCATCACTTGTCTTGCTGGATAAAGTATTTTTTTCTCCTTGTCTTTGAAGGCTAAATGCCAGAAGCACTAGGTTCATGGCAGTTGGGTGGTTTGCTGTTTGGGGGAGGGGTGAGGGAAGAGAGTACGTTTTCTGATTTCTCAGCTATTGGAAAGCCCTCAAACAAACAAAAAAATAAGATGGTACAATCTTTTAAAGACGATACTTGCATACCCACATCCAACTTTGACAAATGTGCCCAGCTACTATCCTACATGGACTGGGATAGCGTAATGTCAGTGCTCCGTGCCCAAGGAACTTTTGGATTGGATTGCTGCAATTAATTCTTCATGAAGCTCTCTTGAAGTTAACCCAAAAGCTGTAACTGGTGCAGACTGCATCTGCCTAATTGTCGAGAGGGGTGGCTATAGTATCACACTAATCTTGAAAAGTGTCACATTGGTTGTGATTACTGAACTGTACTTCAAGTGTTGAGATTAATTTGTAAAATTATAAGGATCCAAATGTTTAAAAGAATATCTCCTTCAACACTGTCCAAAGCTTGCATTGCAACCAGGAGGGGAGGCCTTGGGGCGGTCCTATTAGTGGATTTAGTTAATAGTATGATGGCTATATTTTTGAAATTTTTGGAAAATCACGACTGCAAACTGCCCATCTCACTTTATGCCAGCAAGCTGGTTTTACTGACCACAGTCAGGAGTTGATGAATTTACAGTGTGTATGTCTCCCTCCAATATCATGTTGGAACATAGAATCTAACCATGCACAGAATACAGTTCATCAACAGGAACACATGTGCATCACCTATATTGGATACATAGCGTAAAATGAGTAGCTGCTAACACATTGAGTGGACTTTGGTCATGCAAAATACTTCAGCATTAAATGTAGTAGAAACAAGCATAAGAAATGAATTGTTAGCAGGAACATCATCTTGGAAATATTCCCTCAACGCTTTAAAACATATAGGCAGCCCACTGTCTCCAGTGAATGTGGTTAATGGGAATTAGTCCAAACATTTGGAGACCAGGTTGCTAACTTTGCTCTGAACTACAAACAACTGCCAGATAGCTCATCCCCACTTCTATAATGGGGATTGCAGGAAGAAAACACCAGACAAATGGGAGGGGGAATTTAGAGAGCCCTGCTGGATCAGACCAAGTTCAGTATCAGTATTCCATCAGAGGTTCAGTAATTAAGACATGGGGTTTATTATTAATATTCTCACCGGTTTCCAGTGGACAACAATGAAAGGGAGGTTGCCTTTGATCCTAATTTCCAGAGAGCATATGTACCTTGAAGTAGAATTTTTGCATTTCTTCCCTGCCTCCTTTGAAGATTCTCCCCCTCCACATTAAATGAATGTATAGACCATTCCCTATCCTGATGCCATCCAGATGTGTTTGGATTCTGGCTTCAGAATTTTCAGCCAGTATGGGCAAGATGTATGAAGGAAGGACTGGAGATGGCTGCTACAATGGTTGGTGTTCTTAGATTAAGTGGCTTATCTGATTTTGACTTTGTGTGTTGTATGAGCAGATAATGGTGGAATTGCTTGTAATGCTTTATGATAAGATAATTTTTCTCTGCTCCTATAGCATAGGATGGCAGGGTTTATCATTTGGCTTGCTACATCTGGGGGCCATCCATAATTACTGTATAAGTACTTAAATGTGCAACAGATTAGTTTTTCCTACTAATATGCAGAAGAGTAAGCTTGGGTGGTCTAGAAAGAAATGCATAAGCTTTGTTTTAATCAAAATTCCTCTTGTGTAGAAAGAAGAGAAACATAATCCTGATTAATGAAGATCCAACTACAGAGTGTTAAAGATTTTCAAAGGAGAGACAGATCAAGAGAAAAGGGAGAAGACATTGCTGTAAAGATAAATTGTACATGAGAAATGAAAAAAAAACCCACATATAATTGCGATAGAATCTCCTTGTCAATCAATATAACAACATATTGGGGATTGATTTATATCCCTATTAATGGGGGCAGCCACAGTGCTTCCTATCATTTTTCATCATAACCACCCAGTGAGATACATTATATTTGAAGTTTGTACCGAGGGGCTTGGGGAGGTTCTTCATTGGGGAGGTTAAAGTTAGTTGAGGTATCTGTTTTATATTTATGATTTCTATATTAGACACCAACCAGGTTGTTTTGAGAGGACGTTTTGTGGAACAAAATCTAAACGTGTACATGCATACAATAAGTTACTATGTACCTAAAAGGCTACAATGTTGGATCAGCAGCAAACAACATCCTGCCAAAAATATACTCTTGTGGTAGACTTGACCTAGAGCAGGATCCAGGAAAGTTGGCACATACTGCCATGGAAAAGAGAGATTCCAAAGAGGCTATAAACACGGCAAAAAATCAAGATGATCCACTCCACGCGGTGTCAAAGCGTGTGTCATTGTTTATGTGCGCTATTTCGCATTTTATCTCCTCATAGTGAAAAAAGACAGAAAGCATTTAAAAAAATAGTGGTTCGCCCGAAAGGACGCGTGCTAACTCTTGACAGAAAGCACGAAGGGGAGAAATCAGCCACACGCCCAATGACTCTGCAACGCGGGTTGTAATAAAATACTGGGAGAGAGGAGGCGTCGATTTAATTGCAAAAAAACCCGCAGCCGAAGAAGATCCAACTCAAAAACTTCCAATATTGTCAGAAATGTAATTCGTTGCTGATCGGCCCACCCCTCTGAGGCAATCAATTGAGATATTACATTCAAATGAGTGTGGTCCATTTAGCCAATGGAAAGGAGGCTAGTGGGTGGAGTCCTGATCCACTTCCTCGGAGGAAAGTTTGTATTTATAAAAAAGTCAGTGGTGGATGAGTTCCAGTTGTAGCTAAGTGTAGGCGTGCGTAGTAGGAGTTGCATTCTCAAGGTGCGTTCTTTTTTTCTCTCCTATACGCTGTAATGATTAATGTATGAGCTTGCTATTTTCTAGTCACAAACTAGTTATACATTAGTATTAAAAACTATCCAATTCTTAATAAGATGGTGTTATTTTATTTAAATTTTAAGTAGAAAAGAATTTACATTTTTTTCTTTACATGGAAGGTTGACTCAGCTTTTCATCCTTCCGAGGTGAGGAAAATGAGGACCCAAATTGTTGAGGGCAATGTGCTGACTATAAAACCGCTTAGAGAGGGCCGTAAAGCACTGCGAAGCTGTATATAAGACTTAGTGATATTGATATTGCTACATTTTCCAATTGTTGATAATTGGAAAATATATTTTATTTTCTTCAGTTGCAGGCAGAAAGTGAATTCTTTAGAGGCTGTGAATTTATCGTGGGCCCAATAAAATTTTTTCCTCTATTACTAAATTCCAGAATGGTTTCAAGTGACTGTGCTTGATTTTGATGTGTTTCTGAATGTATTACATGATAATTTAAAACAGTGGCAGAAAAAGGATGAAAAATCACGTAAGGAAGCATATAAAAATAAAGATGTTCAGCAGACATGGATTATGAAATTTGAGTCTTTGTATAGCATGCATTGTAAAAATCTTTTTTTTTTTCTAAAAATTACTGTTAACTTCTAAGTTGTGCTAAATCCTTAAATTGGGATTCTAATGAATGAGCAGGAGTTACATTTTGTGTGATAGGAAGCAAAACAATACAAGGTGCTTGTGTAAAACTTACACTGTGGAGTATTTTTTAAAAGTTATCCCAAGAATCAGTTGATATAACTGCATGGTAGCATGAGTTACAACCATTGTTATCTAGGGAGATGTTACATCTTGATAAGGTTTTTGTTTTCCTATTCATTCCTTCCTCATGTCTGATTCTCTGAGACTGTCTAGACAAGTCAATGCAGTTTGCCTGGCAAGGTTTTTCAGAAATGGTTTGCCATTACCTCTTTCCAAGGGCTGAGGGTAAGTGACTGGGCCATAGTCAACCAGCTGACTTTGTGTCTAAGACATCTCCTGGTTTCTAGCCAAATGCCTTAACCATTACACCAAACTGGCAGTAAAAAGCACAATAGGGTTCATAAATTGATCACACAAGAAATAGAATACATTAAAAAAGATACTGAAGAAACTGA